CCCCAAAACCCCAAAACCCCTTGAGTTAAAATCGTGTTCAAAGTCTAATAATCGCTTAATTAAATAACTATCTGATGTAATCAATTTCAAATAGTAATTCAAATATATAATTTAAGATTTGGTTCTATTATAAATCTATTTTATCCCACAAAAATCAATCTATGGGTTTCAACTAGATCTATCATAGGACTTTAAATTCTAATCAAAATTCTCGTCAACAGCAAATACTTTATCGTTAATAGCATTTAAATTCTGCTGCTATTATAATTTCTTTTAATTACGTTTGTCTTTTATATCTATTAAGTCTTAAATTTTAATATCATTATTGCTTCCCTACGAATTTTGAGAATCTAATCTACTTGGGTAGCGGTTAGGCTTTATTTTTCGCTATTTTTATTGAGCAATATTTAGCAGTGACTAGGGTTTGAACAATTGTGGTCCTGCTGGAAGATCTTCGTTTGAATTTTCAAAAGCCATAACTTAACTTATCTAATCATTGTTAGAAGGTTTCTTTCTTAAGGAAAACTTTCTAACATCTTTAAGTGGACTTGATAAGAGTTTCTTTTCTAACTTCCTGACTCTGGTGATTGAACCCAGCTTACCTCGATTACTACTATTAGTCTTCGCATTAATAAATTGCATTGTACTCTAATTAATAAAGTATTCATCAATTGAGTTATCACCCATATTAGTTTAATTATTTGTTTTTAGAGTCTTACTAGTTGAATTTCTTGTATTCCTTTAGAGTCTATGAGTGTTCTATCTATCCTAGTGGCTATTAAAGCTTTCATATTCAGTCAATAACTTTAAATCAGTTTTCATTTCATTCTAAGATTTTTAATAAGCAATCGAGTTACCAAGGCTGTCTAATTGCTATTAAGGCTTTTTTATTTGTTATTCACCACGCTAAACTTGAATCATTTGTTAGAAAAAATCTTCGTTTTATTGATAACTGTCAATTGAATTTTACTTTTTCAAAAACGTCTTCAGATCGTCTTCGTAGTCTCTGATGTTGAAATTCCTAAGGAACGAAAAAGATCTTAGTTAAAGTAATCGCTTGAAATGCAGTCTGAATAGAACAGATGCGAAAAATATGGCCCAATTAAAGAGAAAGTATAAATTGAATAGAAGTATCATCATGAATAGAAAAGTAAGCATTTGCTGATTATCTTCTACGTCTTACTGTAAAAAGAATATTCCTCCATATAAGGATAATGTCTATAGATGTTATTAATTCAAGAATTTTGAAATAACTTACAGCTGCATATACAGATTATTTTTCAATATCATTAAATCTAGGATCAATGTAGGGCTTAACACTATGTATTAACTATATCTAGCTAAAGAGAACTATTATCCCAAGAAGACTCTATTAGTAGCTTTTAAATAATATCGAAATCATACCTTGATGCTTGCATTAACCTCTGAGAGTAAAGTACTACACAGAATGAAAATGATTTTTCTGAAGTTTATTAAAAGTATTTCCCAGTAATACTAATTGTCATTTAATCCAATAAAGAAAAGTCCAAATCTGCTGACTACTTCAGGATCCTTAAAATTCTTTTTGTTTTGATACAGCCTTACAAAAAACCATAAAGGAAAGCCTAGTACCCAGAAGAAAACCAAAGGAATTCCAACGCACAGAACCATTTGTCTATGAGTGCCCACCCAGCATTCAATATCATAGTCCGCTTTTAAAAAGGATTGATTGTTCTCGAAACTTTAACAACTGAACAGTGAGAACGTTTGATTTGTGATCATAGGGTAGAATAAGTATGAAAACATATAAGAGGTAACTTATATACCCCTCCACAACTTAATCTAAGGTAGTTTATTAATCTTTTTGTAGATATAGATAGATATCCATATAATAGTGCCTAATGCACTGAAAATAAAGGGCATTAGCCCAAAGAATATCACTTTTATGTATTGGGTAGGTATTTATGAGTTTAGTGATTACTTGTAGAGACAGTCTAATGAAAATATTGATTCGCTTTAAGATCCAACAATAGAGAAATAGGTTAGAGAATCTTCTACTTGTTTGGGCCAATTTAGATCAAAGGATTTGACTATCATTATAGCTTGAAAGTAATTAGTAAAAATTCTCATTAATACTGTCTATGGCTTATTTCTCTTCTAAGAACTCAAAATAGAACTATAACAAGAATTGAGAATTAGGTTTGTTTTAACTTACTATTAAAGGTAACCGACATAAGCACCAAGGCCAAATAAAATGCCAATAAACTTCATCACTTATAGATCAAGAGGCTCGCATTCAACACATTAAGATCCGTTAGCTCTTCCATAATTAGAACCATTAACATCTTTAGAACAAATCGAACAAAGTCTTCCCTCATATCCAACTCTGCATTCTGATTATATTCCTCCCCTATGTTAAAATAAATAGCAGAAGTCTTACAAGCAACTTAAAGAATTGGGGCATCTATATAAGGTAGTACTATAAGCATTTGTCCTCCAATATCCTGGATTTACCAAAGTAATGTTTTTGCCAGGACATTTCAAGTTGTTGATGCATTAGTTACAAATATAATCTGATGTTCTAAATGAGAAAGTACCTTTTGAGCACTCAAGACACATATTATTCTATGTTACTTCTCCATCTATACACTCTCTGAAATTCACCTTCACGTTAAGTTCTACAATATTAAGTCAAATGAGCTTACCAGAAGAAGAGATAGCAAGCCTTGCTAGCTTATCTTTGTGGAATGAATCTGTTGTAAAAAAGACTTCTGTTGAAATGTTTGGTTTGGCTATGAATCTAATCTCATAGAAATTTAGCATTCCTTTAATGGCAACAACTTTGGAGTTTTGAGATACCTACAAATTAGTATCTTTAGTCATTAGAAGGACTAAGCTTGAGTTATCATTAATTACTAATTGATCATCTTAATCGAATAAGCCAACTCTTAGTGGAAAATTCAATATCTATCCACTCACTAATTAAAAATTAAGCTCATCTGATGTTTTTATTTTGGACTCATCCGTCATATTGACAATAAATTTAAGTTAAGTTGGAAATGAACCGAAATTTTTTCCATAAAGTGCCTGATTATAAATGAATGTGTTTGTGAGTATATTCTAAGGTCTATACAAGTCATAATATATAGCTCCTCCGAAAGATTCGGCTGAATTGCCTTCAAATATACTTTCTTCAATAGAAAATACGCATTCTAATCTTAGATTAAAAGATAAATTACATACTTTGTTTCTTTTTTATCGAGCATCCAAGATATATACCACCACCCTTACTTTTAAGTGCTTTATTCCCTTAGAATTTTGAATTTTATACTAGTATATCCATATTTTATATTCTAATAGCCCCACTACTTTATAATCCAACATTGTCAATAAAAGAACTATTCTCAATCTTTACCTTATAAGACATTTAAGTCTAGTCTAAATCATAAGAGTATAAACTAGATGCTCCAAAGCTAGTAAGATTAAAAAATGTAGAGTTAACTATGCTAAGTTGTGTTTTAAAGGCCGTGATTGTCATTCCATGCTATTCTTATTTTACAAATCCATGTTGAAATTAAGATCGAGTAATGTTTACTGTACTTTTATCTGTTTGTATTAACTTCAAGTTAAAGTTGTCTGCATTCAGTTGAGAGATTTAACCTTAAGAATTTTTTATAGAAATCGTTGCTCCTTCTATATTTGGGATTTCGTAAAGATTAAGAAAGTAACAAAGATTTAGATCAAATTATGATGATTATAAGAGTATTAGAGGATATAACTAGTTGTTCAGAATAATATTCTATACTGTAAGATTGTAAACCATTATTTAACTCTCTTATACGATAAACAAGGAGGAATTTGTATCACGAAATTATACATTTATCATTGTCAAATTAGATTTAGAAGTAATTTCAATTAGATTTTCCTCGCAAGAGAGGTTTCTTAAAACGAGATTTTATAGATAGACTTGACTTTCCTCTGAATGAAGTACTTCTGCTTTATTAATGGTGTTTTAATATATCATTTAATCTATTTCGATAATTGATTGAGACTGAATCATCAACAACGATATCTAATTTTCTACAATTAATCCCCCTCCAAGAGCAACGTATGCTTAAATTACAGATATTTGTTAATTTTCAAGTATTTAATCAAGAGAACTTAACCTTTGAACTTCTTGCTACTTTTCATTTAATAAGAAATCTACAAAAGCCTCTTAAATACCTATTATATTAATTATCGCTTGCTTATTCATATTAATATCATAGAACAACAGCATTTAATCTTTGCCAAATTCATATACAAAACCATTTTCTGTAATTTTGCCCCCTACTATTTTAATCTGATTAAAGGAATTAATAGCAAAAATTAAAGAAGATTAAAGTGCAGCGTTTCTAGTTAAAATAGAATCTTTCAATAGCAATGATCCATCATATTAAACATAGACTACACCACCTATAATAGCAAAATTTCTTTCAATTATACATGTTTAACAATAGATATAACTATTGTCTTGAATGTAAAATAGCCCTCCAAAGTAAGCATAATTCTTAGTAAAGGAGCTTTCAAAAATCTATGTAGTGGAATGCTAATCTTCAGAGTATATTATAGATCCTCAACCGTTTGAGAAGTTTTCTACGAATATTGAATTCTTAATTGTCAAATTAGTATTTTTGCCTTTATAAATTAGAGCATTAGCTTTGCCAAAGTTATTGGATATATTAGAGTCTGTTATTAACAGTGATTATGTGATTGATTCATCAAAAGCGGAATTAGGTATCATTTGTATGAATCTGCCAGTGTTGTTCTAAAATACTAAATTGCTAATTCTAAACAAATTCAGCTTCATTTTGAGATTGAAGTATCTCCCATCTACTAATAGATTATTTCGAAATGAGCAGTAATTAAACTCAATAGATAAATTCTTGGATTAAAACTCTTCTACATTTATAACGTAACTTTTAGGTTGAGTCAATGAAATCTCTGAAATGTGAATATCTTGGAACAAAACTGTAATCTTATCGTTTTGATTATCTTCTTTTGAATAAATACTTTTAAAGTCCATAAAGTTTGTGGTTATATTTTTAATGTTCCAATTGTAGAATATGTAATACATTGGCTATTCTTAACCTTCATAAGGTTTGAGTTGCTCTAATATGACTAATGAAGATATTTTACCTATAAAGTTTGATTAGTTAATTAAAAAAATTAATAAGAAATAGAATTTATCCTTACTTTAATCAGGCTCAACAAAAATCTTATCGATATTAGCATTAGTTATTTTTACATTTTGGCAAATGTTAAATTTTATAAGATTAGTGTCTTTTATTTATAATCTTGTGATATCAATCCCATTTATTTCAATATTTTAACTTTCTGTTGATTGTATCAATGATGCTAATACCAAAGTTACATCTTAAAACTTTAGATTTTCCAGCCTAATTAAGTTTGAACTCCATATCCATATAAGTGCAGTCATACTGTTTTCAGTTTCTATAAATATGAAAAAAATGATGAGCATTTAAAACTTACATAATGACTAAACATTATTGTATAGTATATTTGTGATATTAATATTGCTTGATGAAACTTTCAAAGAACAAGACATCTTTGAATCAGTTACTTGAATGTTGCTTAGTTAAACATGATTAGCTTCCACCTAAATGACTTAGTACTCTATTTCTTTGTATATAACATTTTCAAATGTTAAGTTGTCTATATATACTTCTACATTTTCCATTCCTTTCTTTATGATTTAAAAGACGCATCCGATTCCAAAGTTCAAATTCCTATAAGTATTGTTATATATTCTGACTACTTAGTAACCTTATTCCTTAAATTTCATGGTATATCCTATGTAAGTCATTCCAATATCTTTTGTATTTTCTATTAGGTTATTAGTTATAGTGTAATAAATTGGTTTTTCCATATTATCGTTAATTGCTTCGTGCTCTAAGTAATAAATAGAATCTGCTAATCCCCACTGAAAATTTCTGTAAATATTGCCTGTGATGGAAATATTGAAATGGCTAGATATGTAAATAAAGTCTATGAGGGCTACCCCACTGTTTATCCCATAGAATGTATTATTTGTAACCAATACAAAGTTCTAACCATTTTCACTTAAAAAAGGAGAGAAGTCCTATTTCGTTTGATGGTCAATCAGTCTGTAAAGATTAGTTATATCGACAAAGGAATTCGATAATACTAAGTTTGTTCCATAAGCAGTTGAAAAAGCTTATCTTTATAATACAAGGTAGCAGTTGTTGATTGTTGATACTCTGTTTGGAGATAAGAAAATTCTAATTAGGGAGTTGAATTGCCAGTCGATAAAATCATATTCTACAAACTTAAAACCTTCAATTGTTAGGTCAGCGTTTTCAGTAACAAATTTATCATTCTCTGAATTTTCGATGATATTTGACATCAGCCCCATTTCACTTGCTCTTTTAAAGTCATATTTGTTTACAATGATTCTGTTATCAGGTATCGTAGGATTAAAGTTACTCGGTTTTCTTTAGTAACCATTAAGAATGACATTTATCAAGGTATAGTCTGATTCATCTTCTGTTATAATTTAATCTTGATCTTTATATGGTCTAAAAAATTGTTGATCTCATTAAACTTACTTTATTAATATCTTGGAATTAATTATAATTAATGGCATTTATGTGGCATGAATCGTTAAATTCGACCCATGCTTCAAATATATAGTAAATTCTTCATTTAGGTGAGACGCATGATTGAATATTTCTCTGATCGGATCATCTAATTGTTTGAAAGGGTATTCAATTGTGCCGAGTTCAATATTACTCAGATCAGAGGAGGGATCGACAAAATATATCTTCTCTGTAATTATGATTATAAGCAAATTACAGGACTGGTAAATCAATGTTTTGAAATGAAATTAAATAAGAGTAACTTACCTCTACAATAATTGAAAATCTTAGAGTTCAATCCATTATGAACTACTGAAATCGGTACAGTATCTTCAGGGCATGCTTCCAAACAAGTCCAATCCATAAGATTTCAATATAAATATTAACTATTTCCATTGGAAAAATTGCAAGTAAGGCATTCTGATATTTTAGGTCCAATGCACCATCTATCACATAAATCGTGACACTCTAACAATATTAGCCGATGTCGATGGTGATATTAATTTACTTTTACAAGATTAAGTTGAACTTTCAAAGTAAAAGCTTTGATCACAAATTTAAGAGGTAACTAGATTTTGAAAGACAAGCATGATAGCAACAGAAATAATTTTCTTTTAAGAGAATTCTCCATAACTTACGGATACCATCGATATAAAATAATTATAAATTAATTTTAAACTAAAGTAAAAGTAAAAGGAGCAACATACAGAATCTAAACTGCAAATTATTTTATTTTTGTTTTCATTTTCATTTTTCTATCCATATAAGTATTTTTCTATCCGGGGTTTTGGGGTTTTGGGGTTTTGGGG